GATTCTTGTCAATTAAATAGTTATGCTCTTTTCCACAGTTTAAAAATTGTGATGCCAAATCTCAGCCAGCTATTTTGCAAATCAATGTCATTAGTCTAAAATATCTTAAAATACCTTTTGTGTCCACAGAGTTCCATCATTTTTGTACAGGAAAAATACAGTCTGTTTTACTTTTTGTTTGTTTTTAGTAAATTAGGAGAAGAAACAGATGAGACGTGAGAGTGAAAAAGACAATGTGCGATGCAGAGAGCTGGACTGATCATAGACTTATCCTCTTCAAGCTAAATATTTGCATTCAACAAAAGAGCGTCCCCATGGCAAAATGGCTACCAGAAGAATTAATGTTAACAGATTAGAGCTCTTCTCAAATGGGAACAGTTGTTGCTAACTTGGAGGGAAAGTTGAACCAACACAGTTGGCAACAGTGGAGCAGAAAAGGAGTGGGCAGTTTTCAAAAATTTGGTGTATAGCACTGCATTTTCTCATTTGGGTCAGAACACTTGCATACACCAAGACTGGTTTGATGAAAATGATGGGGAAATTCAGAAGCTGCTAAATGAAAGATCAGACCTCCACAGGGTTTACCAGCAGGACAGTTCATCCATTTCTAAGAAGGCACCATTTAATTCCATCAAAAGTAAAGTACATGGAAAGCTTAGAGAGATGCAGGATTCTTGGCTCAGTAAGAAGGCAGACGAAATTCAGCTTTATGCTGATAGTAACAATCCAAAGTGCTTTTATGATGCCCTGACAGCTAATTATGGTCCAAAGACCTATGATGCATCACAACTACTCAGTGCTGATGGAACCACATTGATTAGTGATAACGATATGATCCTACAGAGATGGGCTGAACACTTTCACAGCATTCTCAACAGACCATCCTCAATCAATGCTGAAGCCATTGACCGTTTACCTCAGGTTGAAGTCAATCTCTCCCTACCTGAAATTCCAAGTGAAGAAGAGGTTTTGAATGCCATTAGGCTCCTCCCATGTGGCAAAGTGCCTGGTGCTGATTCTATTCCTGCTGAGATGTACAAGGTGGGGGGTCTACAGCTCATACAAAAGCTGACTGAAATTTTCCAGGTTATATGGCAAGAGGAAGTTATCTCCCAGGAGTTCAAGGATGCCTCCATTGTCCATCTCTATAAAGGTAAAAGAAATAGATTGTTCTGTGACAATCACAGAGAGGTCTCTCTCTTAGTCATTGCCAGCAAGATTCTTGCCAGAGTCCTCGTTAATAGGCTGATCCTTCACCTGGAAGATGGTCATCTACCAGAGAGCCAGTGTGGCTTCAGAAAGGGCCAAGGAACAGTCGATATGGTGTTTGCTGTCCAACAACTCCAGGAAAAATGCCAGGAGCAGAAGAGAGATCTGTACACAATGTTTGTAGATCTGACCAAGGCCTCTGATACTGTCAGTCATGAGGCCTTTTGGAAAATTATGTCAAAATTTGGTTGCCCAGAGAAGTTCATCAGCATTGTATGTCAATTTCAGGATGGCACACTTGCCTGGGTTCTGGATAATGGACAGTGCTCTCATGCTTTCCCAGTCACCAATGGAGTGAAACAAGGCTGTGTGTTTGCTTTCATGCTTTTTAACATGATGTTTTTAGCCACATTGTCAAATGTTTTCAATGAGGAAGAAGATGGTATCAAATTTGGTTACTGCACTGATGGTAAAGTATTCAACTTGAAAAGGCTACAAGCCAAGACCAAAGTGGAAAGAGTATTGGTGCATAATTTTCTTTTTGCAGATGACTGTGCACTCAATGCTGCCTCTGAGTTGAGATGCAAAAAAGTATGGATCAATTCTCTGCTGCCTGTGCTAATTTTGGCCTAACAATTAACACCAAGAAAACACAGATGTTCCATCAGCCACCACCACACCATCCATACATGGAACCATCAGTTACAGCAAATGAAGAAGTTTTGAAGGCTGTGGATAAGTTCACTCACCTTGGTAGTGTACTTTCTAGGGATGTGCACATTGATAATGAGGTTAGTTCAGTGTTTGAGAGGCTCTGAAGGAAAGTATGAGAGAGAAGAGGTATTAGACTGACTACCAAGCTGTTGTGCTGACCTCATTGGTGTATGCCTGTGACACCTGGACAGTATACTAGCGCCATACCAGGAAACTGAATTGCTTCCATTTGAGTTGTCTTAGGAAGATGCTGAAGGTCACTTGGCAGAATAAAGTACCAGACACTGAGGTCCTTTCTCAAACTAAACTGCCAAGCATTCAAACTCTGCTTCAGAGAGTGCAACTCCAATGGGCTGGCCACAATGTCAGAATGCAAAACATATGCTTGCCAAAAAGACTTTTATGGAGAACTCACACAGGGCAAGCATTCACATGGTGGTCAGAAGAATAGATACAAGGACACTCTCAAGGTCTCTCTTAAGAACTTTGGAATTGATTGTTTGACATGGAAGACATTGGCACAGGACCACTCAACATGGCATGCCTACATCAGAGACGGTGCTGGGCTCTATGAGCAAAGCAGAATTGAAACAGTTCAAAGGAAATGCAGGATGCACAAATTTAGAGAAACCACTCCAAACGTTCACACAGATTATTTGTGCCCAACCTGTGGTAGAGCATTGGTCTTATCAGTCACAGGCGGACACACTGAAACCTGACTCCAGCGTAGTGATGTCATTTTGGCCCTCTTTGAGAAAAGGACAACAACCAACAACCAACCAACTAGCAAATCAGCTGAAAAGCACTTTGCTATGAAAATACATGGTTTTTGGAACATTGCCAGACTTAGACAAGGTTACTGTGGGTTTTTTTTTAATCTTTCCTCCTATATTTGCAATAGTTTGATAGCATCAGGGAAACTTTTCAAAACCTGCAACTGCTCAAATACGTATGCATTAATAATTCTCTGAGACTATCCAGAAGGTTGAAAGCTTTAAAAAGCTTTAACTGGGTTTGGTGATAATGTCTCTCGACCTTTTGACAGAGCAGTGCAGTAAGGATGGTCAACTGTTAATTATAACCTTAGCTACAGGCTCTTTTCTGAAATTCAGTAACTCCTTCTCACTCCTCCCAGCAACTGTTCCAAACTGCCCAGAGAAGAGCACTAGATTTGTAGTTAGTAAAGACCCACCTGACAATCCTGTCTCTGAAACTGACTAGTTATTTGACCACAGGCAAGGCAATTAAACAATCTAGGCCTCAGTTTCCTCCCCTGTAAAATGAGGGAAAATAATACCTAGCCAATCTACCACAAAGTTACTAGGAGGTTCAAATGAGAGAATGTATTTCTGAAAGGACTTTGCCAATGTTAAAGTGCTCAGAGAATGTCAGTTATTTTTTTCTCTCATCTTGCCCCAAACCACAGTTTTATTTTCCAGAATCACAGCTGATGGCAGAGTTTCCCACTTCACTGACTGAAGTCATCCAAACCAAATGCACTCAGCTTCCTTTATTTATTTCCTCAAATTTCTCAGCATCAATAGTATCTACTCTTTTCCTTCACTCTGATCCCAGAACAACAAAGCACACTACTCTCTACCCCTACATGTGCTCTGGGTCCAGTTCCTTCCTACTCCTCCAGGACCTGGCTCCTGAAACTGGCCATCCATTCTCTGTCGCATGTATATACACCATCTCTCTCCCTTCTCTAGTTCTTTCTCACCTGCCTTCACTAGTTCATCCCATATGCCTTAATTCAGGCTCTTATTTCCTAAGTCATAAACTAATAGATAAAATCCTCCCAAACAAAACCCTTTCCTTGCCATACTCCATCCAGCTACTAGCCCACATCTCTCTTCCTCTTCCAGGAGACCTCACAGTGACAAGTTGTCTATAATGGAGGCCTCTGTTTCCTTGATGGCCACATTTTCCATGCATACAGTAGGTGACAATCACTGAATGAATAGGACTTAGAGGATAAAGAACAACACCTCTGGAGATTCACATACAACAATGACAGGACACTGGATTTGTCAAAGGATTTAAGAATGGCACAATTTTCAAGTGATACTAACACATTTCTCAAAAGAGAAATGAGGCACATGTATTTAAAAAAACAGTCGCTGACAGCGTTGGCAATGTGAAAGTCATAAATTTCAGCATCTGCCATTCCCAGTGTTAACTAAAAACAAGAGGGCAAAATTAGCTAACCAACATTTCCAATTATGTTGAGAAGCAAGATCTCTGGACTGTTTCAGTTGACATGCTTATGAATGTATAAAACATTAGGCTATTACGTTCCACTTTTCCACCTTTCCAATTAATCAAGATTTTACTATATTTTGAAAGGAGTTCTATTCATTTCAGTTCTCTCCATCAAGATACAGAAAACTTCTATTACTGACTTAACCTTTCCTACCTATCACCAGATAAATTCTTTGCCCCAGGCATTACGTTTGAATTCAGTATGTGCAAAGAGACTAAGTGTGTCAGCTGAACTCTGCCCAGTCACTAGAGTTTATTTATGGATCTTTTATTTTTTCCAAATTAATCTTTCAGGGTTAGAATTATGATGATTGTAAGACACTGGGAGTTACAAGGGAAGTTATAGAAATCCATCTGACATAAATCCTTTTTTCTTATGAACTTGGCAAGCATTAAAAAACATGAACATGTCAATCCACAAAGTGCAGAAAAGAAGGTGGTATATAAAACTAAATTTCTGTTATGCACAATTAAAAAAACAAAACAGCATATATTAAATCTAGCATGGTAATGACAAAAATACTTGACCAGTATGTGACTCCTTCTGAACTTCGGTGTATTTTTTAAGTATTTTGCTGATTCCATTTCATTTTAAGGAAGGGGAAAACACAGCTCACCAGCAAAGGGTGTTTTTTGTACCCTGCTGGTTAGAAATGATCGGGGTCACCATTATCACTCAAAAAAGCCATTTTAATTCATGCTTCCCTGAAACTGGCATAAAACCTATTCCTGATTAGAGAAACAGTAGCTGGCAGTAGGCTGGGAAGGTACAAGGAAAAGACTGTGCTTCAGGACAAGTTAAAACAACTTACTTGTACTGCATATTTATAGAATTGTTCAGAAAGTTCTCCAAGTTCCTCCTGAGAATTAGATGGGCTTGGAAATTCCTCCAGCCGGTCCAACTGTTCAACTTCTGCGACAGGATATGGTTTCTCCTTTACTACCTGAACAATCTGGAATCGGCAGAGACCGGTGATCAGCAAGGTATAGTGGGGTTTGGGCCAGTTACTGCCCACTACCTGAACGGCCAGTGCAGCTGTCCCAATCCTGAAAAACATTGCAAAAGTCAGTGTTACAAGAATGCAATAATAAAACCCAAAATTTCACTTCCAAAACAAGGTGCCTTTTCCTCACAAGGCTATCAAAAACTCAGAGGAGTGCTGAAGTGCCAGAGGGACATCAAAAATTGCTGCTGGATTTAGCTTCATATCTGAATGTGCTTTGCAAAACAATAATAATAATAATAATGATGATGATGATAATAAAGTCATGCAGATGGAATTGCCACACACTACTTGCCCCTTGAGCAGCTCTAGAAAATGGCCATATTGATTCTGTATGTTCAGATGGTCCTGTGGTTTAAAAGGGGAAAAAGCACTCTGTACTATACTATGCTTTTTAAAAAAAGAATAAAGAAAAAATAAGGCATCTACAAATGCACAAATAGGACCCATTCAAGTGTAAGAAAAAAATATCTTAGAGCTTTAAAAAAATTAAAACACACCTTTTAAAGCTTAAAAATAGTGAGCTCAAAGAGACTTGTAAGAAAACTAGGGTTGTAAAAGTCTATGATAGTAGAACACACATTCTAAGAGGTCCAACAAATTGAGAAGGTTTCAGCAGCTAGTGGATGGTAGGCCTGTGAGCAGGGGATAAGCCTTGTTAAGTGTAAAGAGGATTATCCCCAAAATGTTGGCCATCAGGTGATGTCTAGTAAACCCTGTTGGACAGGTAAATCCTATGTATCTATCTATCCTGCCTCTACAAACAAGGCTTTATTTGTGCACAAGGAAATGAGTAGACTGTAACCTTCATGAGGTCTTAACTAAACTTTCTATCTAAATCTGACCCTTATTACACCCCTAGTACAGAGCTCTGTACACCATTAGCATCTAATAAACATTTACCATATAGAAAATAAAAGGCATATCTAAGACTTATTAAATAGTGAGAAATCTTAGTGGAACTCTTTGAGCCTAATGGTTCCAGTGAGGCCTATAAGGAAGTCAAAATATTATGGATAAAGGCAAATTTGAATTTGCCCAACTAGAAAAGTCTGAGTTTTGATCACACAGAGTATGTGAAAAATTTGACAGATACGGTTTTTATTTAGAAGCAGCATGGAGAGTGGAGAGAGACCTGGCCTTGGGAATCTGGAAAAATCTAGGTTCAAGTCCTTCCCCGAGCACCTCCTGGCTGTGTCCTTCTGGGCAAGTCGCTTACCCCTGCCTCAGTGACACAGGCAACTCTCTAAGATGAGAAGTTACAGAAAACACCTGATTTGTAAGGGTAGTTCCCTACACCAAAGAAATGACACGATTTCTTTCCCCCATATAGAACCAACTAATCATTTCCAAAATATGAATTATTCACATTATAGGTTATCTAAAGTAGACTTTAACCCCAGGCTGCCCCGCCCCAGCACATTTTAGAGTTTCATCCCCTATTACCAATGACATTAATTTATGTAGAAGGATGAAAACTGACTCTAGTATCGGCTTCTGCCAAATACATTTAGAAAGATAAACTCGAGGTGAGAATGAAATCAAATAATCTAATATCACAAAAATTATCTGGAAATTATTTGTTTTGAGTTATTTGTGTCATGCTTCTTCAAGGCAGATAATCAAGTATTTAAGATTGAGAGTCAACTCAGAAGTGCTGAGAAAATCCTTAGTTTAATTAAATTGACATTAGGCCAACAGAATGGAATCTAAGAATAGGAAAGGTCCTACAAGATCAAGTCTACACCTTTATTTTTTAAGCAAGTTAATTAAAGTTCAACGAGGGGAAGTGATCTGAACATTATCACACAGTTAATTAGTCTACTGTTTTTCTACTCTATCATGTGAATGAACTAAGGCCGATGTTTGTTCCAGACTTTTCTCACCAACATTTGCAATATTTTCCTTATGCAAACTCTGCACCACATAGCAGGAAACATTCTCAGCTAAGGAACTGGATTCTTGGCCCAAGGGGTTTACAAACTAGAATCCAGGGTATATGTTCAGGACATAAATACAGATTCTTCTGTTAAGATACTTCACAAAAAAGGTTAATTTGGAGAACGTGAATTTTCTGCCTTTATTAATACTGAAAACGAGGATGGCACCAAGAGATTAATTTATAATATCTTTCCTCCTAGTTACAAAAATTTAAAAGTTTAAGTTATTGATTCTTTTTCTGAAGTCAAACAAGAAAATTCATTAGAGGACATACTGCTCTGCATAATTTTCTCCAAGACTGGAAGATCACAGACTGCTGTGGTAAGTGACATTTTGGGGAGGGAAGCTCCAAGTAAGAATAGATTAGGTCAATCCTTATTTCAAGCAATTTTGACTTTACACTGTTATGTTAATTTATACTTTTTAATATGTAAAGAGTAAAATAAAGTTTCTGTTAATTTAAAGGTTTTGGGTTTTTTTTTTTAAATTTGATCTATAAAGGACCTACATTTTCCTGCACCAATATTTCATCATGGCATGGAGATGGGCCTGAGTGTTGTAAAAGTCTATGATAGTAGAACACACATTCTAAGAGGTCCAACAAATTGAGAAGGTTTCAGCAGCTAGTGGATGGTAGGCCTGTGAGCAGGGGATAAGCCTTGTTAAGTGTAAAGAGGATTATCCCCAAAATGTTGGCCATCAGGTGATGTCTTCCCTTTTTTGGCTGCCACAGCTACTTGTGAAAAACATCTACTAAGATGTAGAAGACTGTAACCCCTAAGCAGGGAGGATATCCACAACTGTGAAATCAGAATGCTTTCAGAGTAACCAAGTATATACAAAGGGTACTACAACGAGTGACTCATTCACAAATACAAGAAATATGCCTCCATTAATATGCTCTTTGAGAGGTCTGACTGCATATACCACGTGACCAGGTTTTAAAAAAAACACATCAAAATCCATCCAGTCTTAATGAATATCCTCTTTTAGGAGGAGGTTTAAGGGGAGAGTTGTGTATTTTGGAAGGCTCTATAACATTTACCGAACAATTCTGCCATTACTCAAAATGCACGTGGAACTCCTTGGGAACTACTTTCTCCACACTCTTTCTAATGTTCTCAGGCTTGTAAAGCTTCAGGATTTGAAGGTGAAAATGGCCAAGATTTATTCAGAATCAATTCTGGTAAATTCAAGCGAGGTTGCCTGTTTTAGGCAAAAGTGGTTTTTTTTTGTTTGTTTGTTTTTTGGCTAGGCAATAGGTTAAGTGATTTGCCCAGGGTCACACAGCTAGTAAGTGTTATATGTCTGAGGCCGGACTTGAACTCAGGTCCTCTTGAATCCAGGGCCGGTGCTATATCCACTGTGCCACCTAGCTGCCCCGTAAAAATGTTTTTAAAAGGAAATATGTCTATAAAATAACACCAATTTTCTTGTGCCTTCCACAAACTGGCTCTGAAGGTACACAAATGAGGAATTCCAAGTATGTTTTATCCAAATGCCATCCTAACTGGAATAAGTGCAACATCTCCCAAGGAGATTGCTTTGAAGAATGATACTCATCAGTTCTGACAGCTGTTAAAAACAGATCTAATCCTCCTCTCATAAATATATAGGACTTTACAGAAAGTATATTTTTTAAAAGCCACATGGGAACAGACTTATAATTCTCATTGTCCCACAACCTACAGAATATAAAGATCTATCCATATGGGCTTAACAAACATTTGTTCAATGAAGATAGTCAGGAACAGAAACTTAACAGATTACAGAGACCCTCTCTAACTAACTCTAACATTCTAACATTTACAGACATAAAATCTACATTTAAATTGCAAGTTTGGGAGAGGGGGAGAAGAAAGTGGTGGTGAAGTGAATGTGAACCATCAATTACTCCAAAAAAGTACAAGAGTGGGTATCTGTTGAAGTAGCTGCTCCAAGACCTAGTAGAATGGGTCAGAGACTGGCAAATGCCATCAATGTTCATTTACTCTAAAGGTATTTTGCAACAGGAACCAGTTTTGTAACAGAGGGAATGGAAAAGAAGTTATCTATTTGTTTATGGGATAATTTATCAAGTGTGTCCCATTGGGTCAGACTGTGTTACTTGGCTTAACTGCTTCAACAACGTATGAATTCTGCTGAATCACTGACTCTGCTCATTGCTTGGGTTACACAGTGTGAAAAGGAACAAGGTGGAGGATCTCTATTAGAGCAGTCCCAAGTGCTACAGAAGAGAAAGAATCATTTGTTTTGACCTCTCATGTTACTAGTGTCTTTGAAAATTTCAAATTTTGTTTTGGAGAAGTCATTTGTATAGTTTTTAAAAAAGACAGGTTGTGCACAAAGCAAAATAAGAGTGTTTTCCATTAAATTAATTTCACTATAGTAAGAACTAAACACCACTGAAGATCTAATCTAGCCCTTCACGTGGCACAGAGGTGAACCTAAGCCACTAAAGGCTATGTTGGCCAAGTGCAAGTACTAGAAGATTCCCTCAAACTGAGTTTTAAAATAACAGACCAAGAAAGTCTTTTGCTAAAGAACCAGCCCAGTTAAGTTTGGCTGAGCTCATCACCAGGTGACCACAGGGGGTCTATGGTCAGGCATTTATTAAGTGCCTACTATGTGCTAGGCACAGTGCTAAGTGCCAGGGGTACAAAGAAAGGCAAAAAATAGTCCTTGTTCTCAAGGAGTTCACCATCTAATTCAAGAGATAACATGTAAACAATTATGTATCAACAAAATATATACAGAAGATATTAGAGAAATTTAACAAAGGGAAGGCACTAGCATTAGGGGGGATTGGGAAAGATCTCTTGTAAAAGGTAGGATTTTAGCTGGGACTTGAAGTGAGGGAGGCCAAGAGATGGAGATCAGGAAAGAGAATTCCAGGTACAAGGGATAGCCAGTGAAAATACAGATTCAGGAGGTGGAGTGTTTGGCGAGGAGATTTGCAAAGATGCTAGCGTCCCTGGATTACAAAGTATGCAGTAGAGAGTAAGGTGTAAGACTGGAAAGGTGGGGCAGCTAGGTGGCACAGTGGATAAGAGCACCAGCCCTCAAGTCAGGAGGACCTGGGTTCAACTCTGGCCTCAGACC